TTTTAGATTTAGGTTTTCTAGCTAGTTGCTGTTTTCTAGATGCAAAACATGTTAACTGTCCAAGCACTTCTCTTTCTGGAGATGCTTCATTTCATAAGAGGAAGAATCGTCTAGTTTATGTACTGGTTCCCCTCAACAAACATGAACAAAGACTTGGTTTCAGTGTGTGTTCATTGCTAGCTGTTACTGCATAAACATTCTTTCTGTCTTACAATTTGACATTCAAAGGTTATGGGATCAATACAAATAATTAAGAGAGAAAATAAAGCACCATCTATACATTTAAAAATAATGTTTGTGGATAGATACCCTCTCCCAAAAAAATAAATACAAATTTTAATATCCCTATAAACCAGGGGGGAGCAAAATTTTGGGGACTATAGCTGCATGAATGAGTGAGGTTGGTAATGAGTATTTATGTATTTGTTTGTTTAAAGTTTTTATATACCATTTAACTACTAGCATCTCGGGATGGTCTTACAGTAAAAGCAACATAAAATGAAGCATAGCATCCAAATAATTCAAAAAGTACAATAAAATAAAACCCACATTAAAACCTAATCAAACATTAAAATAATGGTAAAATAAAAAGATTTTAGCCTGGCGCCAAATGGAACAAAGTGTCGGCACCAGGCAAACCTCTCTGGAAAGCACATTCCATAACCTGGGTGCCATATCAGTATCAGTGTGGGGGTCAGGATACATCCGCTATTCAATATTAATGAAGCACTGTACATATGTAAATAAATGTTTTATTCAATCTTTTGCCATACACTGTGAGGAAGAAAAAAGAGCGAAGCAGAACACGGCAGTCTCTCTCCCAACCGCTGGAAAGCTTGTCCCCTCACCTTCTGAGATGGCAGCAACTTCCCACACCCTTTCAGATATTTGCAGGATGGTGGCACAAGGTTAGCCCAAGATAAGGAACAGGGCAGTCTCCACCCACTCAGGCATCCTGGGCCCAGTCCTTCGAGGACACACTCCAGGATTTTGATATCCCAGATCAGTGAGTCTCTTTTATTGTAGTAAAACATTAATGCTGACACTCTTCAGAAATTGTTAAGCTCCATATGTAACTCAAAAACAGTCCGAAGCTAATAATAGCCCTGTTGAAAATCCAATTGACTTGGTTTCCCCATTGCAGCCTCTAGAGATTAGAACAAAGGGAAACAGTCTGACCAATTCCTGTCAAAAGCCATCCCAGGCAAACAAAGGCAAGGATTCTAGAAGACTGTGAAACCTTTGTTGGAACATCAGTATTCAATGGATCAAGGCCAATCAAATCCAAGAGGCAAGACTAGTTCAAAATTCAGTCAAGAGTTAGCCAAACATGCAGTAATTTTAATAATCACAGCTTCCACTTTGATATTCCCACAGTGCATAAATCCAGGCATAGAGAAGTTCAAGAGCAAGTATTATTCTAAGCAATCTGGCAACTCAGGACTATCAACCAACAAGAATTCAAGTTCTATGAGAAGTTTAGCAGTACTTTCCATAGAAGGTTCTAAAAATGCAATTCAACAATTCAAGAGATAGGAGTCTCAATGGGATGGCGGCTATGTAAAGAGCATCTCCAGGGGCCAATGAGACCAATCTGAGAGGATTTGGGGGAGTAAGGATAAGAAAGTTCCCAGGCCAGGGATCCAGCCTGGGCCTTTACTTAAAGTAAAGGTGTGGCTGTAATGGCCTCACTCCTGACAAGGGACTTTAGCCTGTGAATGAGGACCCTGCGTCTCCATTCTGCCTCCCTGAGCTGATTCTTCAACTCATGTGGCACCTCTGAACCACCCCACCTCTCATGAGCTTCTTGCAGAGAAGCTGCCATTTTCCTTCCTGCCAGGCCAAATTTAGCAGCTGGAATAGAGCAACTCAATACCCACCAGACTTCCTCTGAAAATGCTGACACAGATAAGCTTACATTGTCTGGAGCTGGGCCACAAACAATGAGTTCCATTGGACTGCCAACGGAGTTTTGCTTCCAAAAATGGACAGGATCCTTCACCTGCGGTAGACTAGTTTTGGAGGTGCTGCATCCGAAGGCAGTAGTCTAACTTTGGAGGTGCAGAGCAAACTGCATGATCTACACAGCTCTGTCCTGAAGCACCTCACCTTTGCTTTCTGCCTCCTGAAGCAGCCGGCTGAGTGTCTAATAGCAGGGTGGGCTTATAGCTGCAAGAAAAAAACTGAAGCCTTGACTTCTAGGTTTAACTGAGCCAGAGTCTGCTATTACATCCAAACTGGGAACTCTGGTTAACTTAAACCAGCATTAGAAACTGGTTTTTAATGAGATTTGATTCTAAGTAGATTAAATCTTGGGTTGTTGGGGCAACCCATTGTTTCAATTAACCATGGTTTATTGTTACACCTGAGAAAGAGAAACTGCCTAAGGTCAGTCACTGTCTATGCATGTGGTGTTAAAGCATGATTCAGCATGGCAAATAATAAGCAATTACAGGAACAAAGAGCTTGATTACACTGATGCTAACATGACTGCCTGTGACACCAGTGTTAACGGCTCTGTACAAATGTCTTAAGAGAGGCTGTGCTGGTGAAAAACGCGCAAACCGACACCCTGAGTTCTTAGAGGATACAAGGTGAAGCACAGGAATTAAAAGGATCAAATCAACACATGCTGGCATAACTAGTTCCTGGTATAGTTCTTGAACTATAGTCAAGTGATGGCATAAAAGTAGGGTAAACGTATGTTGGCAGAAGGACAGGCATGGGCTCCACTTCAGGGCTCCCCAGAATGCAATCCAAGTGGAGCAGCCAAGCTGAGGATTCGGCAACTTACAGGTTGGTTCATGGCCTCTGCTCTTTATTACCTGCATTTGAGTGGAGCTAGTTTATTTATAGCACATGGAAATGGACAGGACTTCAGGAGGCGGGACCAGCCGCTCTGCGTTGACTTAGTCATTCTTGTTTGGACACGCCTTAATGGGGAAAACTGTAGGTGAAAAACAACATGCTTCCCGCAGCCCGAGTCATGATGTCAGTCAAATCAACACGGCAGCATGGGGGGGGGGGGGCAGGTGTGCTGCGCAGGCCAGTGAAACCAGCTCGAGCACAACAACTTTGCCAGATACAAGGAAGCAGGTATTTACCGAGCACGAGGCCTGTTAAGTAGTAACAGCAAGGTCAAGGGTTGTGTCCTTTAAATTACAGATTAAAGATTAAGGCCATCCCTGCCTTGAACTTTTGGCTTTTAGTAAACCCAGAACAACAGCTACAATTGGCTGATAGTTTTTTGCTTGGGTCTGTCGCTAGTGGTAAGAGTTGGAAAAGGAACTCCCTTTGAGAGTCCGTTGGCGGTGCACAATCAAAAGAACGTTTACAGTTGATTCAGACATACAGGAAATACATGCAGCATGTAGGTAGCCTCTGAAGGGGCCACCAAGATGGAGTCGGTACAAGATGCTTTTATAGCTTATCAGTTACAGATGCCATTTGGAGGAGAGGTGGGGGAATCACGTTCACAGTATGCTAGAGACACACTAGGGCAAAACAAGAGTCATTAAGACAATTCAAAGAGAAGATCCTTCAGGACAGGTAAACAATTAGCATATCCAAGAGTGCACCTCCAAACCATTTCTAAGGCATGCATGGGCAGCAAGACTTATAACAGGGATTCCTGACCAGATCAGTCATCTTAAGTTCTTAGAGTGTCAGGCTTTTAACAGTCGTATTATGGCAAAGCTTTCGCTCATTTTGTCCTGAAAGCCAAGGAAGAGAGCAATGTTTTCCTTTGTCACCAAAGCTGTATACCAAGGGTAGGACTCAGACATAGAGGTGGACCAGGGTCATCCGGTGACACACTGGAGGCATTTGCCAGCACCTCTCATTCATGCTGCAGAATATTCAAGGCCAGCCCTTGATGTGCGTGTGTGCAGTTTGCTCTTGTATCTAAATGAGTCAGTGGCTCGGTTTGTGTTGTTTCTCTCTCTCTCTGCACAGAGAGTGTTTCAATGTCTGTTTATGTTTTCACTGACTGTCTTTTGTATATTATGTATTATGTGTACTTGAACTGTTTTTGAGTTCTCTTCCATGGATGTGATGACTATCTCTGAGTTCATAGTAATCCACACTCAGGGGTTGAGCATCCATTGAGTATAAGTCAACGAACAGTGGTCTGTTGTTGAAATGTGGCTATCATGTTGTCTGAACCCAGCTGAAATTTACAAACCCATGGTATGTTAAACTACAAGGTATGGATTCTTTAATGGGTCAGTCATGTTTAACAAACCATGGTTTCTTAGTGTGGTAGGGTTCAGATATAACCTATGTTTCAACAATAACCCATGGTTCAACTTGTTCCCTATACTTTCCCTTGAGCAATCCAGTCCTTCTTACATTTTAGGAGATACACATAAGTTTCATATTGTTCTCTGCCGTTTGTTTCTGTTATATTTGAGTAGGGCTGCTTTGTGGTGAATGCACAAAGGAACAGATACGGAATTTTGAATTCTTTCAAATTCTGCTGCTATATTCCAAATGCTGCTTTTCTGCATAGCTCTGAGAACAGTTATCATCATCACCATCAAGCCCTGTATACTCAGTTTCCTTCTTTGTAATGGCTTCCAGTTGCAATAATGATGTATGGCTCTGTGAATCCCTACACTCCATTTTGCACTCATGATCTTAAAATCACTTGAGTATCTGTGCAATATGAATATTTGCCTGATTAGAAGGATGTGGGTCCAAAGGAGTCCTTTTGTGTGGATTCTCCTTTTTTCATTAATGATTGCAACATTCATGTCCCTCAGTATTCCCTTCTGCATTATGGGCTGTTGGGAATCCACAAGATGGTTTACCAGCCACAGCAGTTCTGGGGCCACCTGTTTGATTTCTCTACCTTATAATGTTACAAAATATTATCAACTTGCCAGTTTACACAAAGAGATCTCCTTGAAATGATATCTTACTGTAGCACATTTCCTGTGAAAGCAACAACATGCCTATAGTAGGGCATTCAAATTCCACAGAAATTATATTCCAGAGCATTATTTTGCAAACACCTCAAGTTTATTAATTTAGAAAGATATTATCACAAAAACACTTGCAAGACCAAAAACAAAATCCATTTGCAAAGAAGCACACATAGACACTGGTCCTAAGAAACGGTGAACAAGTTCTGCTGTAAACGGTATCATGACAAAAACATATATCCTTGGTGAAGCAACACTATACTGCGCAATTCAATGCACAAAGAAAAACAACCTTCATTAACAAGAAATATAAATAAATATAATATGTGTCAAATGGCACCTCATAATTCTACAGGTATTTGTTTCCCTGAATGCTTAATGCAATCAATCTGGCAATGTGTACTAAAAGGAAGTCATGTTGGTAAATCAGATTTCTATAAAAGTCTTTGGTTAACTAAAAAACTTCACGAACCCAAATGCCAATGTCTTACTGATTTTGACAATTGTCATTTATGTAGCACATTCCAAAGGGGGCATCAAGGCAAATAAACTAGCTTTGAATAGTGTTTTAATATAACTATTCATGAATAATTACTGAAAAATGTTTTCAGTTTGCATTATCACTGATTTATTACTGAATTTTGCAATGTGGTTGGCAGAAGAATGCCTTATTTCCAGACAATTCCTAATGTGTCTATTGTTCAGGTTAATGTATGTTCTGTCATTTAGTATATATATGAAAAAGTTGCTGGCTACTGAGATTAGTTTACCATTAACTCAAATTCTTGAATCCAGCAATTCTGATACTAATGATTCCCCAAACGTTTGGGCTTTGAAACCTTTCAAGTCCATTTAAATGCATACAGTGGATCCTGACAACTTCCACGAAATACCATACACAAAAGTGATCCATACACACACCTGATCTTGAATCAGGCAAAGCTCCCTATTTTAAATTTTCCTTATCCAAAAGATGTATGTAACATTTCATCTGGCTGACATATTTTGAACAATGGGATTGTTTTTCTTAGTGTTAAAAAACAAAATAAAACAAAACCCTAATTCTTTTCCTCTGAGAGGTTGTGTTTTGAAGTAACTTTGAATTTCCTTTTTGTTTCCAAAGCTTATTCTGTTCAAGAATTTCTAACACTGTTAGCAAACCTGTCCTTTTTTATATACACAGAGATCACATACTGACAAAAAACTTGCACAATTCATTTTGTAGGACTAAGAATACTGTAAATTTTCTAAAAAGACATCCTTTTCCTTCACTCTCCAGTTTTTTGTCAGGCATGGTTTGGATCATTCAGAGTATTTCATTCTGGCTGGTAACCAATTTAACTAAAGCTTATCTATGAATGTTCAAAAAATAAAGCATAAAAATAAAAATTCATATAATATCCTACCCATAGGGCACGTATCACTATGTGGTACTGTGGTGTACCAGCTTCGGTGTCAAAATTTATCAGAATACACTTTAATTCATTAGAAAATAACCCATAAACAAGTAACAAGGAATATTCATTTCAACAAAACGTACACAAGTAAACCATCCCTTTCCCCAGGTTAGCAGATGGGGATTCCAAACTCTAGAAAATAAGAATTATAAATAAGAATGTGGCACCAAGTGACTGATTTGCAATGTGCATGGACATCTAGAGTTTAATTTTAAAAAATGTTGCTCTTTGCTATGCTTGAAATTCCATAAACTTCCATCACAGCATAGCAGCTGCCCAGGGATTCCAGAACTGCAGAAATAAGCATGCGGATCACCACTCCCAGATTCCTTCTTTTTCCAGTGTCCTTCACAGTTCAGCATTGTTGGTAAACAGTAAATTCCAGTTCTCTCCCAATCTCTTTGTTTATATTTGCTAGCACACTTTCCAAATCATATTACAAGAGCCTTCCCTGGCAGCAGGAAACAGGCTGAAGAAAAGCACAGGAAACATGCCATCAGCTCCTTCATCTCGAAAAAGTTCCTTCATGACTTCTCTTTTATAAAGATCACATCTTCTAGATCATTCTTTGTTCTTTTTCTCGGTTTCCTTTCCTTTTATTCCAAACATTCTCATGTTCCTGGACAGAACAGCTTTGAAATCAGGTTAAGAATCCTCTGCTGGAGGTTCTTTTTGTCGCCTATTTTGCGCAGCTGCACTGCACATTCTCTAGCCGCCTCTGATCCTGCAAAAACACAAACACACGGTATTAGCCATCTGCACTGATTAACGGCTACAGAATTCCATTCTGGTGCGTCTGCTACAATGACCCTAACCCAGAGAGTTCTCACACACATGTGGGAGTCCCTGCTCACTTCAACAGATGACAACATCATTTGTGCAATGGAACATGAATGTTCACCTGCCTGCCGGAGCACTGAAATTACAAGGAGAAGCTATTACAAGGAAGGTTGCGTATGACTCGGCCTCACTACGCATGTCAAACGAGAATATACCCATTTTGACAAAGCTTGCAGGGCAGAAGGCAGACCTGACACCAATTGTCAAAATGGCACCCCACCCATTCCCCCTGTTTTGGACTAGAAATTTCATTTTTTTTAAACTTAAAACAACAACAACGACATGATGGAGGCAGGCAGGCAGGCCGTAGCACCTTCACCACTGCCCCCCAAGCTTGGTAAATGTCCCAAATGCCCAGAGGTTCAGAGAAAGCAACACTTTACATAAAGTTAACATCAGCCTTGTATGTGGGAAATGTGTGTTTCTGGGATGGTGCCTCAGTGGCAGAGAGCCTGCTTTGCTTGTAGAAGGTCCCGAGTTCAATTCCTGGCATCTTTAAAAGGATGATGCAATTGGTGGAGTCCAAGGCCACTGCTTCAGCCAATGGAATGCTGTGGCCAAACTCAGTCGCCTAACGCCACCAACATGCTGAACTCGTGCAAGGCCATTTCCACTGTTCCCAACGGCAGGCACCCGCGGCAGTGCTGGGTATAGAAAGGAATGACTGGTTTGCATGTGCGTATTTACATACGTTCCAAAGTCTACCTGTTTATGTGTGCATGTGCGTCTCCAAAGGACCATGTCTCATAAGGAAATCCCCATTTGTAATAAAGGATGTACGGGGTAGTTACAGGGGAGAAGAACGCATCTGATGCCAGAAAGAATTCAGGGGAGCTCCAGATTTAAGAGGAGGCAGCAGGAAGGGTGATGCACCTATGGCTAAAAGCTGGTAATCGCAGCGGGATCATGAGAGATGCAGAAGAGATGCTTAGGGCCCCAGGACCTGCATCTCAGCAGGTGCTCACAGACCTAAGGGTGGCCTCCTAGAGATCAGGGTCTCCAAAAGAAAGATTTGGGGCCCCAGTCCTAGTGGGCTGCCCCATAGCAATACCTGTTATAGGCAGTCAGTTCTTACTGAGCTGGGCAGTTTCACTTCAGTAAAATAAGCAATTCTTTATGTATTCATAAAATTTATATTCCACCTGTATTTGTGGAAGAAACCCAAGGTGGCTTACACTTCACTCCATTTTATCCTCACAACAGGCCTGTGAGGCAGATGAAGGTGAGAATCAGGGACTAGCCCAAAGTCATCCAGTGAGCCTTGTGGCTGACTGGGGACCAGAGCCCAGATCTCCCAAGGTCCAGTCCAATCCTCTAACCACTACACCACACTGGCTCTCTGGCTTTCTCTCCTATTAAAATAAATGGCAAAGCCCGAGAAGGAGAGTGTTTGTTGGCCGTGACCCGTCAGCCTTCCCCAAGCAGTTTAGGACTTCATCTCCAACCATCCCAGCCAGCACAGCCAATGGCTAGTAATGCTGGGAATTGTAGTCCAAAATATATATGTGGCAGATGGCTGAGGTAAGGTAACAAAGGCCAAGGAAGATGACATCCAGAAGAGCCGCCTCCTCTCTCTCTTCCTGTCTTTAACACACTGACGTTTCTACTTGGACAACCAAGAAGAGCTCAACACGGCATGCACAAGAGGAGTCCGTGTGACCTCGGTCTAAGGAGGGTGGTATCTATAGTAGATCGGCCGTTATCTGGAAAGGGGGCGAGAAAGAAAAGGGGGCAGAGGAGAAAGAAGAGATTGCGTTCGATTAGCTGGTTGAATTAGAAGGAAGGCGCTGCCTGCGACTGGCAAGGCCCTGGGCGAGAAGGCCGTCCAAAGTCAGCGCAAGTGGCTGCAGGGAGCGGGGTGGCGGAGAGGCCCCCGGAGGTCCAGCCTGGCTTGGGATTGGTCTAGATGGGCTCGGCGGTCCCTTCTCGCTCCGCGAACCTCCGTCGAGAGACTCCACAGAGGCGCTTCCTCGCCTCCCTCCCTGCTCGGCTTTCACTTTCCCTGGGCGATCAGCCTTACGGGCCGGGGCCGAAGGGCGCTCGCAAAGGGGCCCCTTGGGGTTGCGTGCGGGTGCGCGGCCGAAGACGCGGGGGGGCGCTCGCACGAGCCATACCGGAGGGCGCGGGGTCCTCCGGCGCGGCTCTTCGCGACGTTCTGCTGGCGACCCTCTGCGATCCGCGAGCGCCGGCTCCGCGGCCGGTCTTCCCTTTTCGGACTCTTGGCGGGTCCATGTCCGGGCGCGGCGGGGGAGACATCGGGCCAGACGTCGCACGGCTCAACCTGCCCGTCGCGTTGTGGCGCGGAACGGCCCCGGCGCGCTGCACCTAGACAAGTGCCGGGGGGTTTCCCAGTGACGTATCCCCGCCGGCCAATCAGGAGCCGGGATGCCCGGGCAAGCGGGGGCAAGTCTTCTGGGCAAGCAGGGGGAGGGGCCGAGCAACGCGCACGGCTGGGCTTGTAGGGACCCGTCCCCGGGCCCGCAGCCCCTCGGGGGCGCGCACGCTGGCCGGATCGGGAGCGCGCAGCTGCCGGTCGGCGCCCCGCGCTTCCGTTTCGCTTTACCCCTAAGGCTCGGCGGAAGCCCATTGCGAAATCGACACCGGCCGCTTAGCGAAGGCGAGAAAGTTCGTTTCGTTTCATGGCTGTCGGGGCAGGACCGGCAGTGCAAACCCGCAGCAGGGCGATGGGGCGGGGCGCTGCCCCCTTTCCTCGCCTCTCGGGATTTCTGCCTGTGCGTTCGTTTTCTTGCAAAGAAAGGATGCCCCGTATGGAGAGGCGCCGCACTGTGGTGGAGACGCGAATCTCTGGAGGCCTCTGTCCCAGCACCCCTCCGTCCATGGGCACTTCCCGAAATAACGGGCCAGGGGCCCTGAAGAGCTCTGGGGAATCTGATCTATCCGGCCTTTTGCCCTTTTGCCCACAGAGGCCTCGTCTCCCCACACCCCAGTCTTTCTGCCTGAGTTTTCTTAAATGCTCTCCTCTGAACTGTGCATACAACCCCTTTTACAAATCGGGGTTACAAGACCGGGCCCTTTAAAGACACGGGCAGGTAGATCTGAGAGTAGCGCTGCATTGGTATATGCAAAAAAGTGCTTTTTTTGGCCCCTTGGTCCTGAGCCCCAAAGCGTTTCTTGGCTCACCCCTTTCCCGGTATGAATTCAACAGCACAGCATTAACTTAATGGATTCAGTTGGGAGTCTTTTGCCACCCACCTCCTCAGTCAGGGTGAATGGAGCATCAGCATGAGCGGGACTATTTTGGACCTGAGGGCAGCAGGCTGACTTGGGTGGGCAGACCTGGCCAGATCATGGGCACAGCACCAAACTATGGTATCTGAAACCTCAGTTTTCCTGCTCTGCTTCTTAGCATCCACTGTCAGCCTGAGATGCTGTCTTACTCTGCTGGGTGGTAGGACTGCCCCTCAGTTTCCCTCTACAATCGGTCATATTGATGGGTCTTGAGAAAAGGTTTTGTTTGTTTGATTTATCATTCTTTGCTTGAAGATATAGCATGTAAAATGCCTTTGAGCACCACTTATGCTGTTTATGTGTCTTTGGAGTCAATAGAAAATGGACACATTGAAAACATAAGAGAACCATTTATAAATATAACGTGCCACCATAATCTGCATGCAGGCCTGGCCAGATCATGGGCATAGCACCAAATTCTGTTTCAAGGAAAGGGAGCGTGTGTTTGTCTGTAAGGAATAAATCCAGCTCCCCCGGTCTGACCTTCCAGCCAGTTAAATGATTGGTGCTTATCCCAGCTTTCCCAGCAGGGCCAGGCCCAAACAGGTGAGCACTGCTGCACTGAGGTCAGGAACTGAATGTTGATACAGATCCTGCATTGCTCATTTGCTCTTGGGATATGAATGTGGTGGTCTGATTCGGCATACATGTGCACTCTAACTGGAGCATGTTACAGTATATTTTAGGTTCAGAAATGTGCAGGGGAGCTTTTAGCAAGCAACAACTGAAAACTTCTTCTGATTGCCAGCACTGAGGGAGGCTCAGTCGAGGACAACAAAAAGGAGGGTCTTCTTTGTGGTGGCACCCAAATTATGGCATGATCTCCCCACTGAGGCTTACCTGGCAGCAACTTGACTATCCTTTTGGCACCAGGCTAAGGCTGTCCTCTATGCCAAAGCATTTATCAGTTTAAAATAGCACTTTGTAGTGCCTTGGTTCTGTCCATTTTGGTTTTCAAAAGGCTCAAGTGTAGGAACCTGCTTTAGCTGTTTAAGTTGCTAAAATTTGCCTTTAAACTTTTAATAAAAATGTATGGTATTTTACTGTTATTTATATTTTATATTATACTTTATTAATTGTTGTGCATTGCCCAGAGAGCTTTGGCTATTGGGTAGTATAGAAATAATAATAGTAACACTAATAATCATAATTTGTGTGAAAACATCCTTAACAACTGCCAAGGGGCACCAGAGGCCAGCCTGGTGACAGGTAAAATAGTAAGAATGACAGAATGTTTCCTCATGCATGCAAAGTGCCCTTTTCTACTTCTGATCAGACCTCACTGTATATTCATGCTCACACGCACACTCCTTGTGCAGCTAAGAGTACGACTATGGCGACAAGATGTAGGGTCGTGTGACGAAGCGCTGACACCTTGCACAGGAGAAATCAGGCACCATCTGCTGAGCTTTGTGCCCAGGCATCTCGCTGCTCACACCCAAAGGCGCTGGACCAAAGGTGAGGCTAAGATGAAGTACACAGGGCACACCGTTTCAATCAACAAGAAAGAAAGACAGATAAGCGAACATGGCTGTTCTTTATTTGGAATGTTGATCTTTATTGCATTTAATGCTGTAGTCATATTCTAGTATTCAACACAAGTCCATGAAAGAAAGAAAGGCTAAGGACAGAAAACTGGACACAAGATTTCAACCTGTGAGATCTTCCAGGTAGTCAGGTTTTGTTTGTTTGTTTGTTTATTATATTTCTTGCATCCATCAGCCCAAAGTCTCCCTGGGCAGCTTAAACAGGCAATAATCACAGGTGCTGCATTGCAACATCTTTTAAAACCAGTTTCGGTAATTTGCCACAATTAGCCGCTGGTAATTTAATACAAGGGAGCATTGGGCACTTCTTGTCATACATGCAAAATAACAAGTGACAGGGGATTTTTGTGTCTGCTTCTATACCTCAGTCCTGCCATTCTTGCTCTCGTTTCTCTGAGGAGAAATGCTTGCAGAGGTTGGACATACTGGTATGTCCCTAAGGATGTGCAATGTGCATGTTCTGTCTGGCCTTACCTTGTATGTCATGCCAGTAGGCCTTGCATTTCACAGGACTTCCATCCACATCTGGTGGTGGGCAAACTGTGGCCTTCCAGCTCCCATGATCCCTAGCCAGCACAGCTGGTCCTCTGGGATGATGGGAGTTGTAGGCCAAAACATTCAAGTATGCCAAGTTGCCCACCCCTGCCTTCTGTATAGATTTTGCTTTACTTTGGGCTTTTCTAAACATGTATATTTTATTTACTTCTCTAATGCTATAATTTTACAAACATCAACATTCACAACTTCCTATCAAAGTTGTAACATGCAATCATCATACGTAGGAATCAGGCAAACAACATTTTACCAGTGACACAGATATAATTAGAAGGGGAAAAAATCCAGTAATAGAAGTACGTTTTATCACAGCCTTCCCCAGTTGCTTTGGACTACAATCTCCAGCATTTCTGACCCCTGGCTGTGCTGGCTGGAGCTAATAGGAGATGTAGCATTTGAAGGACACCATGCTGGAGTTGCTTGGTTGCAATGGCACACCAGCTGCCATTGCACCGCCAGGGGTGGGCCTTCCTGCGGCTGAAGGGACGATCTCTGAGGCGGGTTGATGGGTCATATTGCATTGGCCCTTCCCTCAGGGAAGCAGCCTGTGCCCTGAGGGCCCAAGGCAGCCTGCAGCGGTCGCCCACTCAGCCCCCTGAGGCTTGGGCTCCTTTGCAGGTCCAGTGCCAACACCTTGCTCCCTCATCAAGCCCCACTTTCCTGCTGGATGCCAAGTGGTTTTGAGGTGTTGGGTTGAACCCCTAAAGTCCTGAAAGGCCTGGGACCAGGGAATCTCGGGAACCATATCCTTCTGCTATGAGCCGGGTTCCTTCCACCTTTGGAGCCCATCTGTAGGTCCCCTGCTAAGGGAGGAGACTAGAAACAAGGCCGCCTTTCCTGTGGTGTTGCTCAGACTTCAGAATACTCTCCTCAGAATTGTACACCTGGCCCACTTTGGGACCAGCAGCTGGGGCAGCTTTGTTCAGCGTGCATTTCCAGAGTGACTGCTTTTCTTAAGGATACAGCTGCTACCACTGCTTTTAAATAGTTGCCATTCATGCTTTTAAAATCATGTTAACTATTGCTTGCTCTTTCTTGTTTGTAAGCTGTCTTGGGGGGGGGTGTGAGAGAGAGAGAGACAGACAGACAGACAGACAGGCAGACAGGCAGACAGAGAGGCAGGTAAGAAACTGAATGCATAAATAAATGCATTTGTTTTGTTATGTTTAATGTGCCTTGTGAAATGTCCAGAGAGTTTTGGCTTTTGGGCAGTATTGAAATAAAATGCATACATGATTTAAATCAAAATACTTACGGTTGTGCCACCAAAGTAATCCCAATTTTGTTGCGAGAAAATGCAAAGTCATGGCCAATGTATTCATGGCATGAATATATTAAGCAAGTTGACTACTTCTGCTTAAACTGTATTATTTTTGCATAATTTATTCTTCCTGCTTATCCATTCTATATTGATTATTCTGGTTCTGTTGCTGACAACAGCAAGAAGCTGTGATTCTATTCTGTTTGTTTATTATGATTTTAATTGTATTATGTTATTTGTTGATTTTCTGTTGTAATGGCCGTTCAGACAGTACAATGCTAGCTGGCAGCTTTTAAACAAATAAAACTAAATATGCAAGCAAGCAAGCTATGCTGGCTGGAAGCACCAACTGGAAATCCTCCTCATCTCCTCTCTGGTTTCTGAGATTTCTCTAGATGTTTGTACTTTTAAAATTATTTTAATTGTTTTCCTAAAAGAAAGTACAGAAAGGAAGAAAAAAGTAAAAGAAAAATAAGAATGTCAAAGGATCTTACACAAATATAACATAGATGTTCATAACCTGCAAATTCTCAAAGAAGCCAACAAATTCCATCTTTCTGTCAGTTAGTACTTTGTTGAAGCTTGCAAAAAAGATAATTATAGTTTTCTAAACCAACACATTTTCCAATCACTTCAAATCAAATATAAATCATTAACAATA